TATAATCATATTTATATGCATTAAATTATCCTTTATTTTCTATTATTTGCAGTAAAGTAGTGCCAGCATATGATAAAATTTATTGTATCAAAGGTCACATCGTATTCCAAAACTCATGTTCCAACTCTAAAAATGTTTGCTTTCACTTGAGACTTTGAGATTTTTCAGAGATTATTGGAAAAAAAGGTAACCTTCAATACTGTCCACTGTTTCTAAGAAATTTGCGTAAATATGCCATCTTGGCGAAGAAAAAAGCCTATCGATCTGCCATTCTATCAATATCCGCTCCAACTTATCGCCGTCCAGTCGCCCGGTGCGCGGCTCATCTGATATTTGCCGACACTTAAACACTCCGTGTTCCTGAGATCCTCTCCTTGAGTGAGCATGTCGTTTTAGTCTCATTTATGTTTCATTGATAAATCGATATATTGATTATGTCGCAAGAATCAAACCGTCATTATGACATGTTTTCTAGATGTATTGTTTGCGCTTTGCCATCTCACCGCTTCTGATACAGCTGTCTTTTGTGTCACATTTCGCCAGTTTTCTGCAATGTAACTTTGAAAAAATCATTTTATAAAAAGCTAAAAAGGTTATCGAATCCCCACTTCGGGGTCTATGTGATTAGTTAACGGATGATCTCGTAAGCGCAACTCGTACGAAAATGTTTGCTCGCAAAGTTATCGCTCCTCTTCCTCGTTTCCAATCAAATGATACGAACGTGATCATTCAACATGCCACCACCGACCAAGCTAGCAGCATGCGATAACTCGTACGACAACGAAACTACGAAAATTTTCGAGGAAACATATTCAAAACGAGCTATATTTCCAAATAACTCGTCCGAAGCGATAAGCTATTCAGCCCTAGCGCAAAACGTGAGCAATGCTGTAGACTGGGCTAACGTATCGTCTTTTTTATTTAACGATCCAATTCAACTATTTGGTAGCGAACCATGGGCTATGCTTGGATTGCAGGTAAGGTTCAAAAAATGCACGAAATCGGATCATCAAAAGTATATTATTCTTAGGTAAATTGTTAAGGTTTGAAAAATGCAAAAAATAGGATTACCAAAAATATTTCAGAATTTCTAGGTGAATTATCTTATTAATCTAGTCTAAGGACTTTCGGCGAATATATAAAATCGTCCATTATTGCAGTATTTTGTTTGAATCTTTTTAAAGTATTACTTTCGAATATATATTAGAAAGGCTAAATTTTCATTTTATTGCATTGCGAAGTAAAACGCAAAACTGCAAAACGCAGTCGCAAGAGCAGATACTAAAATCAGCCAAATGCAAGTAATGATTAAGTGAGAAAATTTGTAGCAGAGCGCATCTATCAGATATATGATGTGAAAATGTAAATAATGCCGAAACATGCCGCCACCGCACAATTTCGTTCGCAGAATACGGTACTCCATATTTTAGTCATATATAGTCAACAAGTAACAGTGGCGAAAAAATTGCCCTTCTGAAGAGAACTCCTAATCCCGCTAAAAAATCACATTAGCAAACGCGCCCGTATGCAGCGCAAGTAGATACAGGTGCCTTGCAGAAAATATTGTGACATTGTAATCTTTTTAGCTATATTGTTGCACTTTTTAGGAAAAACTTTAGCTTTATTTCCAAATCTTAAGTTCTATAATTATTCGGTCGAAGGTTTGA